CGGGCTGGGGGACCCCCCTCCCCTCCCGAGTGCACAAATTTTTGTGCACCGGGCCTCTAGTGTTATATATTATTTATTAGATTTATTTGTATTATTACATAATAGTAACATACTAACTTATAGTTAGTATAATTATCCTATATAATAAAAGGCTAGCCCTAACCAGATTGGCTCAGTGGATAGAGCATTGGCCTGCGGACTCAAGGGTCCCAGGTTTGATTCCGGTCAAGAGCATGTACCTTGGTTGCGGGCACATCCCCAGTAGGGAGTGTGCAGGAGGCAGCTGATCGATGGTTCTCTCTTATCGATGTTTCTAACTGTCTATCCCTCTCCCTTCCTCTCTGTAAAAAATCAATAAAATATATATTTTTTAAAAAGGCTAATATGCAAATTGTCCCCTCGACCGAGAGTTCGTCCGGGAGTTTGACCAGCGGGTGGGGTCGGCCGGCCAACCACCCGCAGCCCTTCCCCCTCCAGCCTCCCCAGCCCAATTGGCCTGATCTGGATGAGCTGGCCGGACCCCACCCGTGCACGAATTCATTCACTGGGTCTCTAGTAGTAATATAACTAAGTGAACAAGAAAAAAATTAGGTTCCTACTACCTTGAAGATAAAAACCAATGTCCTATGCATGACCTACAAAGTTCTTTACAGCCTGTCTTCAAATAACTTTACCATTTTCCTATTTATACATTCCAACTCTCAATCCACGCTTCATGTATGCCTCCAAGTCTTTTCCTTCTGCCTGGAATGCTCTTTCTCCACCTTCTTCACCCTGCAAACTCCTACCTAATCTCTGAAACCCAGATCAAAACTCACCTCCTATGTGAAGCTTTTCCAGTGGCTCCTTCCCCTGGGATACTCAGCATCTTACCGCTTCCACCTCAGTTCTCCTATGGCATATGTATCCAAACATCTATGTTAGTATTATCATTAATGTGTCTGTGTCCTTGGGGGAAGGATCCATCTCTTATTTTTTCCTTATTGTTTTTTAAAATGGAAGTTCAAGAAATGTTTCAATAAATGATGGAATGATGAATGAAATACGTATATTGATTTGGGGAAAGTTATCCTGATCTTGCTGAATATGCATCAAGAAAACAGACTTATCTTTCCAAACTTGGACCACAACTGAAAGATGTCAGGGTCATTCATGAGAATGAGAAGACGTAAGTAAGGATGTTATAGTGAATCATTTACCAGCTTGGAACCCTAGACCAGGGCAAGAGGGGACGTAGGTCACCTTTCCTGATTGTTGAAGCCAATGAGAGTTATAAAACCACCTCCCCTCAGATCCATCACACTTCCACACCTGTTTTTCCTGCTCTTGGAAACTTGCCTGCTTTTTTCTACCCTGCTCTCTGTAGCAAGTGATTTTTAGGTGTGTTTTTTTGTTTTGTTTTAGTTTTTCTTTAGCCAACCCTGGCTGGTGTTGCTCAGTTGGTTGGGTATCATCCCATACACCAAAAGGTTGCAGGTTTGATTCCTGGTCAGGGCACATGTCTGGGTTTCAGGCCCTAGTAGGGGGCATGCAGGAAGCAGCCAATCGATTGATGTTTCTCTCTCTCCCTCTACCTTCCCGTCTCTCTAAAAAAAGTCAATAAAAAATTTTTTTTTAAAAAAAGCCAGTACATAATAATTGATTAAAGATGAGGAAAACTGTAATATTCTTGAGTTGTGATCATTTATCGGAGTCATATATTGAGAACATTGACCATTATTCACTCTTTTTCAAATGATTTTTATTGATTGATTTTAGAGAGAGAAAGAGAAAGAGGAAAAGAGAGAAACATTGACTTGTTGTTCCACTTATTTATGCATTCATTGATTGCTTCTTGTATGTGCCCAGAGATCAAACCTGCAACCTTGGCGTAGCAGGACAACACTCTAGCCAACTAGACACCCAGCCAGGGCCTGCATTATTCGCTCTTGACTATTTGATGAGAAATGAGGAAATGGTTTTCTTCAGGATACCTTTGACTAAATGTTAATGTTCAAATGGTTATAAGCTGGCCCATCTTTTGGAATTTTTAAAAAAACTTTTCTTTGGAAATAAATATGGGTTCACAGGAAGTTGCAAAAATAGTTCAGAGATGTCCCATGTATCCTAACACAGTTTTCCCCAATTTTAACATCTTACATAACTAGAATGGACTATCAAGACCAAAAAATTGACATTGGTATAATCCACAGAATCTATTTAGATTTTACCAGTTTTACATGCACTCGTGTTTGTGTGGGGTGTGTGTGTGTGTGTGTGTGTGTGTGTGTGTGATCTCATCACAGGTGTAGATTCCTGTAACCACCACTACAATCAAGAGATTCTCAAATATTCCTTGTGCTCCCTCTTTATAGCCACACCCATTTTCAGGTCTTCCCTACATCTCCCCTCTCCCATCCTTTGAAATGTTTTTAAATATAAATATTTGATATTTCTCACTACCCTGAAAAAGAGGGGATGGGTTTCCCACTGATTCTTGTGCTATTTTGAATGCTGCAAGTAGAAAGGGCCATAAGACTAGGACTTAGGGCAGTGATGGTGAACCTATGACACGTGTGTCAGAGGTGACACGCGAACTCATTTTTTTGGTTGATTTTTCTTTGTTAAATGGCATTTAAATATATAAAATAAATATCAAAAATATAAATCTTTGTTTTACAATGGTTGCAAATATAAAAAAATTTCTATATGTGACATGGCAACAGAGTTAAGTTAGGGTTTTTCAAAATGCTGACACGCCGAGCTCAAAAGGTTTGCCATCACTGACTTAGGGGAACCCTCTGTGCCCACCGGTGGGATAATCATTAATAGTAACACAAAGATGTTAAAAGTAACACAAAGCCTCCCCACGGAAATGATTTTTGTTCCTATACTTGGCTAGTTTCCAGGAAAATATACATTGGCTCTGTGTAGATAAACACTTGGCATGGTACTAAAACTGATAGGCACTCAACAAATATTTATCAGGCAAGTACACTGATCCAACAGGTAGCCATGTGTTCCATAACCGGTTCCTAGGAGAATGTGAAACAATGCTCCATTTGTTCCCGAGGGCAGTTGTTTTCAAATTAGTAGAGCTTTTTGAAAATGGAAAAGTAAAATAGCTAGCAGGTCACCTATTAGGTTTTCCTATTTCCATATCTCTAACTTACTTCTCCAAGCAGCAGACAAAACACAAAAATAGACTAAACTGCTGACTAAAGTTATTAACCTGAAACATCACTGCTGTAAACTGCTCTCCATTCCTAAAACCCCAGAGATTCTCCACCAGATCCTTCTGCTCAGCATTGCGCAGCCCACCTTTTAAGGGGTAGGAGTTGCGGGGAGGAAAGGTGCGGATTGTGTGACCAGTTAGGTAATAACAATAGTTACCAAGTGGTGAGTGCACTTACCTTGGTAGTGGGCAAAGTGCTAAGAACTTTCATTTAATCCATATAATAACCCTCTGAGGTGTGTGATTTTATTATCTCCACTAGAGGCCCGGTGCATGAAATTCATGCATGGGGAGGGGGGTCCCCTCAGCCCAGCCTGCACCCTCTCCAATCCGGGACCCCTCGGGGGATGTCTGACTGCCGGTTTAGGTCCGATCCCCTAAACCAGCAGTCGGACATCCCTCTCACAATCCTGGACCACTGGCTCCTAATTGCTCACCTGCCTGCCTGCCTGGTCGCCCCTAACTGCCCCCGCTGCCAGCCTGATCGCCCCTCACTGCCTCTGCGTGCCGGCCTGATAGCCCCTAACTACACCCCCATCAGCCTGGTGGCCCCTAAGTGCCCCCGCCCGCCGGCCTGGTTGCCCTCACTAACCCCCCTGCTAGCCTGGTTGTAGGCAGTCATCTTGTGAGGGCATGAGGGTCAATTTGCATATTACTTCTTTATTATATAGGATTTTACAGTTGAGAACACTAAGACTTAGAGAACTTAAATAGTTCCCTTAAGGCCACACACTTAGTGACTGGAAGTGGTGGGATTTGAAACCAGGTCATTTGACCAGAGCCAGAAATCTTGGCATCCATTAGGTCTGAGGTGTGACAACAGGATATATATATAATACTTTTTAACGCCTGCCCCCCCCCCTCCGTAATTCTAATGTACTGATCCTTGGGAAGCATTGCTAGAAACTACTTCCTGTAAGGAATCCCCTGCAAATTAAGGTGCTGAGAACTGATAAACTTAGATCAGAGATGCTCGTACTTCATAAACACATACTTCAGATAGACAAAGCTAAATGACTAGTGGTTTTTGCCTACTGCTTTGGATGAAAATATATTCTTAAATTGCTTGTGTTTTTATTTTTATGCTCATCAGACCACCAGAAGTCTAAGCATTACAAGCACTCCCCCAGAAAGAGAATTAAATTACCTTGTAGCTACAAAGCACACGTTTAGTTACTTCCAAGACTGAGGTGGATGGATTCTGGCATAGTTCTCTAAAGTCTTTGCATTTGTTTTTCTTTAAAAGAAGGAGGAACAGAAGGAGGAGGAGGAGGCAGAGGAGGAAGAGAAGAGGGAGGAGGAGAACTAATAACTAGATAGGAAATCTAGATAGAAGAAATAAAAATAAAGATATATAATACCATAAAAAAGTTTCTTTTATTCTGAAGCATATTTTGGCACATGTAGGTATACAATTGGACTTAATGAAACGTTCTTAATAAAATCTAAAGACTGTCCTATGAGAAATGAGTGTGTGAATTAACATAACAAGTAGTTTTGTATACACAGGCCAACCAAACACTAACTGGATGTGTTTCATTCACAAGAACACGAGAGGAAAATATTTCAAATCACTTTTGATTTCAACACACCAAGCCAAACAACTAATAAACCGCCCACAAAGAATGAAACTATTTTGAACTCGTCATTCTGCAAATATGTATTAAAATATTAAGATATGCATAAAATTGTGTAAGGTAGAAACATATCCGACTTTTTTTGAAAAGAGGAGGAGTCAAGTATTCTGAAAGGGGTGGGACCTGCCTGCAGTCCCTGGGAACTTCCTGCTGTCACCACACCTCTGGATTAGTTATCTGAGCTCTCTGAGCAAAGCCCTCAGTTGAAACTCTAAGGCTCTGGGAAGGAAATCATTCTTGTGACTGTGACACACTCTCCAGTCCCCATATGCTGAGATTATACTTCTTCATCAGCTTGATGTGCTTGGTGAGATCAGGTAGGTCATTTATTGAATCATTTCCTTAATTATTTAAAAAATATTGCTAGTGTTAATGTCATTTTGCCTTTTATCATCCCACTTTCTTACTGGACTTTTTAAGTTTCATCCAATCATGTTTAAGAAAGAAGATAAGGATTAAATAAATTTTCTAATTTTGAAAATAAATTACACATAGTTTTCTCAGTAATAAAAGAAACTCTTATTCCTTTGGGTTGACTTGTTCTTCTAAGGTCCAAAAATTAAATATGTGGAAAAATCTAGAATAATGTTCTTTTCTTTATAGTTATATTTTTTTCTGTGCCATTCCTACCTCTATGAAATAAGATTATTTCTTTTCTGGAAATTTAAAATTTTATTATATTAGAAGAGCTAATATATAAAGGGTAGATTTTATAGCTTTTATGCATTAAGGGTTTATTTTAAATTGTTCTTACAGAAAAACATAATTTTATATATGTAAACCCCTTAAAATGGTGCTTGGCATATTGATAGCTTAAAAATTATTAATCATAATTAAGAAATAAAAATTAAAACAGTAACAAAAAATGAAGTGAAAAGCTTTCAATACCTCTCAGTCTTTTTAGGAATCCAGTTCTTTTTCACATAGGTTATGGTAATGTGGCACAAATTTTTTTGAAGGAAAATATGTTATATATATGGACCCATAAAATGTTCATGCCATTTGAAGTAGCAAAACCATTGCTGGGAATTTATTCTAGAGAAATAACTTAAAAAAAAAGAACTTATATAGAAGATGATTCTGTTATTTACTAAAACTTGAAACTAGAAACAGCAGAAGTGTAGCTATATACAGGAATGGATCAAGTACAGTACATATACTTTTTAAAAAAAAAGTAGCCTTTAAAATAATTCTGAAATTTAGGGGTGCATTTATTCTTTCAAATTAGTGTTTCAGGTTTCTTCAGATATATTACTAGAAGTGAAATCACTGGGTCAAAAAATAAATTTTTCTTACTTTGTGCTTTTTTAAAAAATTTAATTCTTAAACTGATTTTAGAGAGAGGAAGGGAGAGAGAAAGCATCGATTTGTTGTTCCACTCATTCATGCCTTTATTGGTTGATTCCTGTATGTGCCCTGACCGGGATCGAATCCGCAACCGTGGCATATTGGGAACTTGCTCTAACCAACCGAGCAACAGGCCAGGGCTTACTTTGTGCTTTTGATTTAATAGTAAGTTAATATTTTACTAGTGATGACATTTTCACTGAAAAGTCAACATTTTAAAGTGTGTTTATCATTTATTTATTTAAAAATGAACATCAGTTTAGGGGTAGCTTCAGGAGAGAGGGAGCTAACCATAACACGAAAACCTGATGGTGATTTGTGGTTACTTCTTCCGGTGAGCTCAGCGTCCTCCTGTGCCACTGCCATCTTGGACCTCCAGATTGAGGCACCTTTATATCTATACTCGGGAAGGAGGACCCTGGAGGAAGCAGAGGGTAGGCTCAACCTTGAGAAGGTCTCACCGGGTGAGGTCCAAGGGAGGAAGGATATATCTCTATTTACAAAGCAGGAACTTAATTTTTTTGTGACCTGCCTTTTTACTTACTGTTACCTCATTAGTAAAGTCTTGTTTTAAATTGATTCTAGAAGACTCACTGCTGCATGATAGACTCTAAGCAGACAGAGACACACCACAATAGACTTCTGTAGCTAGAAGGGAAAAAAACCACCGTAATTATGGCTGTAAGCTAGATCTAGACTTCTCAGTATCTGCAAAACCATGAACTTGGAACTTTCATGGGGGGAGGGTTTTGAATAACATGCAACTGAAAGCAGAAATTATTAATCACTCTCTGCTTTTGCCTTGTTTTCCTTGCTGTCCAAAAATTAGCAAGTGTTAGGATGTGATTCAGAAATCCCAAGGATACAAGTCACTCATTTTCGGAGATTTTTGTTTTGTTGTTCTAACCTCTGTGATATCATGATGAAAATGTTTGCCGTAATCTTACCGGTGTACAAGGCAAACTCTAGTGCATACCAGAATCACCTGGGAAATTTGTTAAAAATGTGGAGACTCTGCCCTAGCCGGTTTGGTTCAGTGGATAGAGTTTCGACCTGCAGACCAAAGGGTCCCAGGTTCGATTGGTTGCAGGCTCCTCCCCAGCCCGGGCCCTGGTCAGGGCTCGTGCAGGAGGCAACCAACCACTGTGTTTCTCTTACATTGATATTTCTCTCTGTCTTTCCCTCTCTTTTCCACTCTCTCTAAAAATCAATGGAAAAATATCCTTGGGTAAGGATTAAAACAACAACAACAACAACAACAACAACAACAACAACACACACACGCGCACACACACACACACACACACACACACACACACACAACGTGAAAACTCTGTCCCCAGAGATCCAGACTCAGGGCTCTGGTGTGAGACCCTGGAATATGCATGTTTAATAAACCCTCAAGGAACACAGACTGATAAGTATTGTTTTAAATTAAGGCTGTTGTCATAAGTATTTTTAAAAGTTATTCTATTATCAATATTTTGGCCTATGGTAAGTTGTGTAAAACTAGGTAGATATTTTCCTAGCGAAAATAGCTTACTGCCAAACACAGAGATTTTCCTAGGATGTTGGAAAGCCTCTCCAAATGATTTATAATTGTGTGTGTGTGACTCATCCTCTTCTAACGCAAAGGCAAAGGTGAGTGAGGAAGTGGGGTGTGAATGCACATACCTTGCTCATGATTAAGAGATGAGAGCGAAGAAACCTGGCATCTGATTTGTTTTCTAAGCTGTATCCTAAAGAAATATAAGCCTGGGGTTAAAAGCAGAGATCTCTTTCAGCCAAGAGGGCATTTTGCCCATATGCTTCTTGCTTGTTTCTTCCTTGGGTGGAGGGGGACAGAAGGAGAAGCAAGAGATATTCTTAGCTTGACTATCTGGCTCAGGACAGGTTTTTAACCCATTGTATGCCATAAGCGTCTGTAGACGCAAGCAGCGGACCTAAGTGGCAGCCCTGACCAACTTTAAAATCATTTTTCATGAGAACTTTCAGCTGAAAATATTCAAGAATGCCCGAATTATGAGTAATATATTTATTTTTATAATATTCATTGCAAATTGATTTTTTAAATTAAATTCAAAATATCGTGGCGTGTGGGGATGTTTTCCGTTTTGGACGCGTGGCAGTTAACTGGTTAATGCCAAATTCAGGTGGCCCTCTGCATAAAATATACACTGAGTTGCTTTTTCATATTTAAAAAATTAAGTCAAATTTCATGGCAGAGACATGTCACCTCCCCCTTCTAATTTCTCTTAAAAAAAGAGTTCAACTCATTTTTAAATGTTTCCAAGGCAAGCTTTCTTGCCTAAAGAGATTTTTATTTCTGGGACTTTTGGAAATTCCTTCAGGCAAGCATAAGAGTGTGGTCAGTGTGGGTTCCTGGAACCATCCCGGCTCCATCAAGTAACATGTGGCGAGATGTGTCCCAGATCCTGACTAGCATTCACTGCCCGCCGGCGTGCAGAATACTAGGCAAAGCATCTCTTAACCTTGGTGTGAATCTCAGTAAATAATTTCAGGCAGCATTGAGCCGGTATACCTGACCTTGGTCTCTGTTCTAAAGAAGTTATTAACACACATCTGCGTCATGTTTGGGGGTGGGGGAAATGATAGCTAGCTTGAGCACGCCTTGGAACCCAAAACTTGAAATAAAAGAAGTGTGAGTCAGGGCCGTGCCTGCTTTACTTCCTGTCTGGATACCAGGCATCAAGGTTAAATTAGGTGGAATTTCACAGCTGTCATCTGGGTTTAGGAGTTACTGGAGTAAATGTTACTGGCAGTAGGTCTGAGAGAAATTGATACTTTCAGTTATAATAGCCTGGCTCAGCCATATTGAGCAGTATAATATGAACCTAACTTTGCTTATTGACTCTCACAGAACATCAGAACTTCCTTCTCCCGCACACTCACAGTTGTTGCTTCATTGTGCGTTATTTCTGTCCACGACTCCGTCATCTTTTTGGATGTGAAGGAGGTGTTTCCTCTTTCTGTAGAAGTTTTCTCCCCGATGAGAAATGTGGGGGATGTTATCAGTTTCTGCAAAAGCAGGTGGGAACTAAACAGCCAGAACTGAGTGTGACACGGAGGCAGCATGGGCGGCGTTGCTTAGTCGTGTGTCTTATGAAGGCACAGCAAAGGACCCTTTGGAAGGTTCATCCAGGATTGTCAATGCTCAGTGTTACCCCAGGGACTATCCAACGGAGACTCGTGAAATAAGTCAGTCTAGGGATACAGATGTCTCTTTTCTGGGCTGTCTTCCAGAGAAATACAGCTGGTGGTTGAAAGCAGCAATGTCCTCCCAATCAAGAGGGCATTTTGTCTATCCAACCCAATTTTCTCTGGCAAAGAGAGAACAAAGTAATGGTTATATTTAGTTCCTAAGCCTGAGAATAAGAGTAGTAGTTTATTTTGCACATTATTAGGTTCAAACCCTCCCCCTGCCAACACAGTGACCATGGTGGGGGGCTTTATTTAACCTTCAGTGATACAGATGAAGGTCCATCAACCTCACCCTCTGAGAGGAAAGAAAACTGGAAAGCTGAGAGCCTGTTTTGATTTGGACAGAAAAAGTGAAACTTCTGCCCAGTCACCTTTAAAAGACTTTTCATCATTTCATCCTTGACTTTCCACAAAAGTATGAAATTATAGGAACCATTTTTTTTGTTTTAGTTTTATTGAGATATAATTCACATGCCATGCAATTCACCCATTTAAAGTCTTTAATTTGCTCTGGTCAGTGTGGCTTAGTTGGTTGGGTATCATCCCGTGCACTAAAGCGTTGCTGGTTCGATTCCTGGTTAGGGCACATGCCCGGATTTCAAGCTTGACCCCCAGTGGGGGCATGCAGGAGGCAGTCGATCAATTGATGATTGACCGATATGTCTCTCCCTTCCTTTCTTTCTCAAAATCTATATTAAAATCTTAAAAAAAGGTTAAGTGTACAATTCACTGTTTGTTTGTTTTTTGG